ATGGGATACTTTGAGTGACTGATTTTTTTCAATTTTGTAAAAGAAAAAGAGCGTTGAATTTTCAAAGTTTCCAACAAAAATTTGTTTGGTAGACAGTAAAAAAGACCCTTGCAATTTGTATAAATATGCTCAGACACAGGTATTATGTGGTCTATTGTCATTGTTTGCACAGTTTTAGGCAGAAATAAACTGCATTTGTACCACGCTTACCGTGGTCTCCTTCGCAGCCGTTGTTTAATCTCGTCACGCACCGCACTCTCTCACTCGTCCCCATTGCGTGATGAAGTCGCTTACATGGAAATGACGGCGTGTGTGGTTTAAGTGAAGGAGCGGTACACACACACACACACACACACACACACACACACAAAACGCTTTAGGTACAAAATATCTTGAGTTAAAAAGGAAAGAACATACACAACTAAAACAACAATAACAGTAGTAGCCACCAAAACAAACATTTACTTAAGCAGCTTAAGAAAAATAAGGAAAAGTGTTCGTTTTGAGAATAGTGTTCGCAATTTACACTTACATAGGAAAAGTGTACCAACATTTTGGATTTCTATATTTTGTATGAAAAAGGAGTTGAATTGTCTGGTGTAATAGCCATGAATGCTTCTCGAAAACGCAAATAATCTCTCAATCAAGAAGACAGACTATCTCGGACAAAAATATAATCTTCCCTATTTGAAATCAATATATATTGCATAGATTAAGAATTTTCAATTGCTTAAGTACAGGTTCAGCTTAAGCGTTAAAATTACCTCTTGATATAATTCGTACCATCTATTTTAGGACAATACGTTTCTATACTACAGACTTGTTTATCGCGTTATCGTATAGGGTTCCACTTATCCATCTACATAGATCTATGTGGATGGATAAGTGGAACCGATATCGATATCGATATCAGTAATGCGATGAACAAGTCTGTAGTGCACGGTACATAAAGTTGAAGTAGGCAGGCAGAGTCTAGCTTTAGATCATATGGATTTTGAAACTTTGCTAGCGATATTAGCAATGTGAGGTTTCCATGACAAATTTTCGTTCACTGAGATAAGTGTGGATAGCGGTGGTTTCCCAAGTCACTTTAATGAAGCGTACATGACGTTAGAGTGAGTACTTATTTCCCATCATTCCTGGCGATTTCCCAGTTAGCTTCCAGAAAATAGTTTATTCTCTACAAAGTCTTGGAATCTTCAATCGCTTTAAACGACTGCGAGAAATGAGTATTCAAGGTACGCTGCGACTAGCAAAGAAACAGATAGAGTAGTTTTTTATAACCAATTCTAGTTCTAAGCTCATCACGTGTATTTTAATCATCATTGTAGTCTCAAAATGGACGAAGTTTTTTGCGAATGCCGGCATACCAAGCGGACCAGCACAAAAGTAAGTGTACTTCCCAGCAGTTTTGTTGGACAGGAAATGAGGAGATTATTTTTTTGAAACCTCTCTTTGTAAATGACCAGTTCCTGGTGTGACTTTTGATACGTCGTAGTTATTCTCCTCGACTGAAATCCGGTTGTAATCAAGTTGTGAGTCAGGTAGACATGTTATAAGCTTTCTATTGTCTCGATCTCGATGTGTAAACAATATTGTTGAGCTGTAAACCATTGGCAAAGTTCACTGTTAAATTTGCGTTGAAAACATTTGTAAATAAGCAGAGGGCCGTCAGCCCTCTCTTTTGGTTGTGTGAACGAAAATGAACCTCAAAATGGTATCTATAAAGTAAACACTCATACTGGCCTGTCAATCAAATGTTAACTTCAAACTGTAATTACTCTCAAATCAAATGATTCTAAGCTAGTTTTGAATTTCCCTTACTTTATCTCAAGGTTATGCACAATTTTTTGTGATAAATTGTCCCAAAGCGGAATACAAATCATTTTGTCATTGAATTCAATGCAAAATACAAACTGACATTTCCTACGTCTTTCAAAAATATGCCATGGCAAATTTTTACATTTTATGAATTATTTTACAACTCAAAAATATTTTTGTGTATCTTATTTGTAAGGGATTTTTTTTGAGAGCAAATGTGAGCATCTTTTTCCTCACTTTCTCACTCTACTATCCAATGTGTGATTAGGACAGAATTTCTCCTTACAATATCAATACAATATCAAAACAATTTCAAGCAGACAAGTGACAAGAATAAAGAAAATATCAATTAGGGGATTATTAGTTGATCTGATACCAAATCTTCCAAACTAACATTACAAGATTTGTATGACAGACAGTAATGAGAATTACTAATACGATCTTGGGAGTGGAAGGGTTAATGACTTGACTGGGTCTTATGATTGGTAAACTCAGTCCAGCCAAAGCTGAAGGCAAACAAAATTACTATTTTATCCCAGTACACTTGTGATATCTGTTAATAGACCTCTGCTGATATTTTCTGTTTCACAATTCTTTTCCATAGCTATGCTGTGATATTTTATGATCACAGAATACAAGAGGATATGCTGTCAGATTTGACAAAGGTTAGAATATGTTGGTTTAATATTAAAAAAAAAACATTGCCCACGGTTTTAAAATCAACATAACCAAGTTTTCTTTAGTCAATTTTATCTCTTGGTCATTACTGTTTAAATATACATGTAGGATTACCCTGCACAGCAAATACTTTAATATGTTATCATTACTCAGTCACATAATTTCTTGGTTTTCCAGGAAATTTTAAGAGACATGGGAATCACAGTGATGGGTGATATCATTGCTATTCTGAGACATGGTAAAGAAGTTCATGCTCAGGTATGAATTTTTATTTTTAATGGTTTAACTCTTTTTACTCTCAGTGAGAGGTGATTAACATGCAACCTCCCCTTCTAATAACCATACATTATCCAGCAAATAAGTAATGAGAATACTCAAACTTATCAGGTAGAAGTTGTCATCTTGATCTAATACCAAATTCTTGTAACTAACATACATGGAAATGTGTATCAACTAGAGGGGAGAATTAACAATCTGATCTTGAGAGTTAAAGGTTATAGTAAAGTTTTAATGGTTTGCTTGAATGGATAAAGTGTCCATTCAGTTCCCTATTCATTCTAAATTTATTTTTCGTATCTGTTTGGGTTTTACAGTAATGGGAACTGCCCTTTTATTTATTTCCTTGGCTGTCTTTGTGGCTGTTTTTGTTTGTATTGGTTTCATAAACAGTTTTCATCATTAACTACCACCCAAAATTTTACAGAATTATGAATTTAAAGTATTTTGCTGTCCTTCTTTTTGATCCCCACTCAGCCTCTAAACAAATGTAATTAAAGAAGTGCACTGAGTCATTTGTTTATTTGCAGACTGAGCGAGAGAAGTCAGCTAAAGATTTGGCTGTCATAGACTCATCTGAGTCTTCTTCTCCTGGAAATCAAACTCCCATTGGTGTAAAACGCAAGTCAACAGGTACAGCACAGCTAGGAACAGCATATAAATGAAGTGTAGTGGATGCTAACTTTTGACATTTGAATAGCCTGCTTTTAGCCCAAAGGAAACAGTAAAAACTGCTTTTGGTGAGATAGGAAAACATTAAAATGGAAAGGAGAAAATTAAAGGAATCATTGCATTCTTGGATTAAGACAATTAAACCACTGGAAACAACAAACCTAAAATTTTAAGCTAAATTTTCCATAATAGAACAATTATAACTTTCACTTCCTTGATCAGAATTCTAATTCTTCCATCTAGTTACCTTACCTTTCCTTTTTGCCTGGTCATGAGAATTTGAAGTTGTATCATAAAATATCCCAATCATGTTAACAATCTCGTATATCTCACTGCCTGTCTGCTTGACAGTGTTTTGAAATTGTAGGGAGAATGTATTAAATGATCAGTTATTGAAGAAGAAGGGTTAGCCCTTTGCATCTCAATATTGGTATGCATATTCTCCTTACTGTTTTCTTTACATTTCCTTTGGTACTGACAAGGAGAACTTATGGACAGATAAGCTTCTTTACTCGGTGATCAATTTCTTTATTCTTATTACCTTAACATATGATTCAGTAGTAATATTGTGGGGAGAAATTGCATGTTTTGATGCTGGTCACTCTGAGGGCTTAGAGGGATGATTCATATGCATTTTAAGTCTAGGAAATCTCTTCCTTTGATTTTATCCTTGCATAAAATTGTTATCTTGTTTTTGACAAGGTAACATTTGAGACAAAAGAGGTTAAACTTTGAGCTAAAGATAAAACTGAACCACAGCACATTTTGTTGTTGTTGTGTACATGTAGCTGCAAGTCGAATGGTAGATCATTGGATAAACAATCAGAAGGCACAAAGTGGCACCAGTAGTCCTGTACGTGATCCACAACCATCACTGTCTCAATCACCAGCACCACCAAAGAAAAATCTCAAAATTGAAGCGGCCACGTCACAGGAGAAACCTCAGGCAACTGGTGGCCAGAAAACTTTATCAGAAAGGTATGCATCATATTTCCATGATTTCTGAAAACCAACAAAAACTTAGGGCAATCATAATGCTGTGTCTCACTACAGTTTAGAAACACTTTGAACTGATATACTTGTATTGCCGACTTGGCGCAGAACCGTGATGTTGGAAAAAAGTTAGTTATATCGTACTTTGTTTGTTCACTTTTTCCTCAGACCTTAACTTTTTGCTGTCAAAGTTTTGTTTTCCTGCATGTAGTGCATAAGTATCTAAAAAACCTGGAATAGTTGTCATTGAAAATTCTTAACAATGAGTAGCAAGATATGAATGTGAGGATTTTTCCTCCAAATTTAAATTTGAAATTTAAGTTTTCCGAGCTCAAAGGATTTCAAGTTTTTGGAGAAGATCCCATTCTTCACTAGCCTATACCAAGCTCTGAATGAAAGCGAGAGGAAACGGAGGGTGGGCAAACTAATAAAATCTAATTGAAAAATCTTACCGCCCTTACAACGACATCCTCTACCGCTTTTTGCCGCCTGCCCGTTCTTTCACTCGTCTCCATTCACTGAGAGCTTGGCGGAGGCAAATGTTTGTTGACAAGTGATAACGTCACAAGTGGAACAACCGCTTCATTTCAAATTTGATGTCTTGTGGTGTTCAAGTCAAGTAATTGGTTTAAAATAAAGCTGATTTTAGACCTCGTTTTGTTGGCCCAGGTTCGGTGGTCGCGGAGTCAAAGTCCATGTCACAAGTAAACCTAAAACAGCGGCAGTAAATCCACCCAAAGTTGAAGATGAACACACATTAAAGGTTAAGCTGCCTCAGGGATCCACTGAGCGGAGTAAGAAGCTTATTTCGAAGCAGAAACAAGCTGCAGCTTCGGCCGCAGGTAAACTTAAATGATTTTAATCCTAAAAAAGATATTGAACGAGCGTGCAAGCAGGAAAACATATCACATGTCTCCGGTACAATTCGCACTCCAACTTATTCCGCCGGATTACCCCACGGAATGTATTACCAATTGAGCTACAAACAGCTCGTGTACACATCGGATAACTAACGCACTACACTCTCGGACACATTTGTTGGGACACCTACTGACACCCCCTCTCCCCCCCCCCCTTGTCCCTCGCAATGGTAGTCTGAAAGATGGCATAAGAACATTGGCAATTAACACCATCGGCAGGGGGGGGGGGAATGGCCAAAGAACATCACAGACGTCTTTCTGGAGACGCGTTCCTACCAATGAACGCGAGCTGGAGAGAGGTATGCGAGGAATTTAGCACTGCCAGACCTCCGGTAGACCTTTCCGAAATGTCTTACCTCTTCCCACGGGAAAGGAAACGCGCGTTCTGCAGCACTAATTATAAGAGCCTGTTTGCAAGCTAATTTCGAATTATCGTGAGCAGCATTTTGAACAACAGTAGCATGTAATTTAATTCCTCGATCGTTCCATTGCAGTTAATAAAGCCAAGGTCATCAAGAGGCAGTCTGTATTTGATCGCTTGGGTAAAGAAAGTCCTCCTTTAGAGGTGGCCGTCAAGGAACCGGAGCAGAAGACTGAGGTTAAAGCCCTGAAACCCCTGAAAACAAGCATCACAGTTCAGTTAAAGGTATCAGAGCTACTTTGCTTTTTTACCAACAAACCGGCTCTCTCGCTTCGGATTATTGTATCAAATTTTATTCATCGATTGATCGCTAACTTGAGCAGAGACCTCGCGGAACAAAGATATTGTACTACCTGATAGTTTGAAAACCAAAATTTGAGGACAAGACTCGAGTACTCCTTCTCCCTTCTGTACAGAGAATTATTTTACAGGCAATTTGATTCTTTGTCATTTGAAGTAACGCTGCGTGAAAAGATTACGAAATGGCGTTCACTTCTCTCGGGCTTGACTGTTTCGTGTTCAATTCTTTCCATGCTTAAATTTCTTATTCCTAATAACAATGTAGAACTGACCAATCATTTTTCAAGATCAATACTTCAATATTATTCTCACAAAAAAAAGCCTCATTTGACGCTGATAATGACTTCTGCCAAGGTTGTGGAAACGTCAGTCACTCCTACAGACAGCAGCCTTTTTCAGGATGAATTCCACTTGGACGATAAGTCTACTTGGTCAACTGTTGCTCTGGTTCGAACCATTGCATATTAAATACTTTTTATCTTTTCTCTAATTCAGGAAAAACCTCAGGGGTCTGTTTTCAGTCGTCTCGGTGGCCTGGCCTCACCCCCAGCCACAGCGACAGCAACGGTTCAAGCAGTAAATCCTAGAATTCGTCCCCCTTCCAGCGACGATTACCCAGAAGATATAGACTACACGAGTCACAGTGTGTTGAAACCGGTCAAACGCAAAGGTGTTCCAGCCAAGCCAGTTAAACCTGTTAAACCGGTTAAAAGATCCACGGGTCTCACTTCTGATGAAGATGCAGGAAAATCCGTATTTGCGCGTCTGGGCTCGAAAGTGTGAATTGCGTTTGTCGAGGGTTTTTGAAAGCCGAGCGTTGAAAATTAAATACATCAGTTCTTCGAGGAAAAAGATGGGAATTCATTGAGATGGTGCTCAGTGTAAGGATGACCTTAATTTTCGAAGCAAGTGACTCACAATGAAGTATTTTTAAGAATGCTTTTATAACATTTGTAACTTTTTAATCCTTCTCCAAAAAAGGACGAAACTTGCAACGAAACAATTCAATGAAATATTGAAATTCTTAATTCGCCAGACACTGCAAAGGGCAGAGACGATGTTTTTATGATGTCAAACACGTTGTTATTAGTGTTAAAATATGAAACTGAATAACTGAGACTCTGCAATGAGAAAAAATATATTTGTACACGACACGATTAACGTCTGATTTTGGATTTTGGACAACAGTGTTTAATTTTGGAATTTAGACATTAGTGTCCAATTTTGGAATTTGGACAGTGGTGTCCAATTTTGAAATTTAGACACTAGTGTGGATTTTTGGACACTTTATGGGTCCGATTTTGGATGCCAAAGCCCAAATAATGAGAAACTGGTCGTTGGTTATTGTTACTCGACTTTGTTTGCGTACGAGACGTTCACACTCCTCATTCATATTAAAGTTTGGTCTTAAAACTTCAAGGCGTGGCATGTTCAAGTTACTTCTGCTTATCCATTTCATCCTTTACACCCTAACATCAGTTTGCATATTCTCAACACTGTTCTTGTTACATTCCTAAGGCGCTGATAAGGAGAATTTGTTTACCAATCAAGAGCTTCTTTCGTTGGTGATCATTTCCTTTTATCTCGTGACCTTAATGTTGATTCAAGGGTGATATTGTTTGGAGAAGTTGGACGCTGGTCACTCTAAGCAGGTCAAAGGGCCAGACTGCACTCCTTTGTTTGTTCAACACTAAAACGCTACAGCCCAAATAAAACTCCCAGAGAATCACAGGAAAAAAAGCACAATTCAAACGATAGAGTACTTTATTTCGGGTTCAGAATCCGACATCTCTGGAAAACATTAAAATTTACTTTATAAATAATCTGTCATACTCTTTGAAATTTTCTTGAAGCCAATTTTCAATTTTCATTCTGTCAGAGAAGTTGACTGGTTATAGTGCTCATTGAAATATTAGTTTCCCAGATGTGAACACTTAATGTAAAAAAGAAAAAATTTTGATTCAAAGAGTAATTTTTGGTAGTCAGAAATCATGAACGGTTAGGAGTAGAGCTTGCTTGAGGCCTGGTGCCTTGTGGAGGAGGAGGCATAGGTCCACCAGGTCGAGGCAAGAACATTGGAGGAGGCACTGGGGAGAGAAAAACACACCGTAACATTGGTGAGGTGTAAAAGGTATCTCAACGACTGTAGTTAATTGAACTATGATAAACAGAACTCACTTGACCTCAAAGACTGGGAATTAATGACGTTGCTTATCGTAGATTGCGCGCGAATACTAAACAGTCAATAAAAGACACGGAAAGGATCTTTATCAGGAGTAATGGCCTCCAATCCTTGTCCAGAATTAAAAAAAAAAATAGAGCTGAATGACGATAGGCTAGAATCTGCCATATTCCCTAGCAAGCCGCCGTTTGAGGTCAGAGGATAAGAAACAATTGCATTCAAAAAAGTTTTGTCAGTCAAAGACTTGCGCATGACGAAAGGAATTCACAACAAAATAAAGACACTGTCATCTTGCAAGACCGCTGACAAGATCATGGCAAGACTTTGATGACCTATCTAGGAATTTCTTTCAAAAGGAGCCTGCTCTAGTAAGGAATATTACATTTACATTTACATTGGATCATCATCACTAAAAGTTGAAGTTGTATTTAAAGTACTTACGAGGTCCATTTGGCGAAGGATGCATCATGGGAGGAGGTGGAAATCTTGGCATTCGCATCATCGGAGGGATTGAAGGAGGAGGGCCAAACCCAGCCATGGGGCCAAGGGGAAGAGGAGGGTGAGATGATCCATCCGTGTTGTCATGGCCAAAGGAATCTACGCTATCGATAGGTTTTTGAGAGGACTGCAAACATAACCAAAAAATATTTCTTGAGCTAAATAAGAGGGAAAAGATTTCTAGCTCAATTTTGAGATTGGACTAATGAAGGTTTCTTCGACGAATTCACACTTTTCTTGAGACTGCAGCGTCATTCAACCGCGTTGTATTAGCTCTTGTCATAATAGCACGCGACGATTGAGGGATACGTATTCCAGATCAGTAACTCATCTTCTAGCAACTATGCCAATCAGAGGAACCGTCCATTCGATCTTTTATGAAACCAAGACTTTCGTCAGCTAATTCACTCTGATCTAGAAGTTTTTATATTCCCAGCGTTGCGACGGATTCTTATCACAGTTGTGTACTCGATTTGAAACTGAATAACAAGTTAATGAATAAGGTATAAGAACCAACCAGCCACATATATCATACCTGAGCAGAGGAAGCAACTGTTGTGGGAGGAGGCGTGGCATGGCCTTTGGTTGCAGGGCCTGGAGGGGGGAAGGGTTGTCGAGGAGGTGTCATCCCAAGGAAATCTGCGGGATGCGGTCTTCGTTGGCCCGGAAACATGGATGAAGGAGGCGGGAGAGGTCCTAAAAAACACAGGAATAGTAAGGATCAGTTGGATGCATGGGAACGCAAATTTCTTTAAGAATTTTGGGCAGTGAAGAAGAGAGATGGTCAAGGAACTGGGTTAGTGAGTGCAGAGATTTTATTTGATAGTAGGGTGAGGACAAGAAATGCGAGGAGTGAGGGCTTATTTTTCTGTGATTACTATTTTTAATGATTGCTTATAACTCACTTACCAGGGTTTGGAAACTACCGATAAGGCACGGGGGAGAATCTATAAGTGAATGGTTCCTCTAAGGGAGGGAAGGTGGGTTACGAAGGAAGCCAACTTACCCATCATTGGAGGTGCACCAAATGGAACTGGGCTACCATGACTAGGAACCCCAGGCATGGGACTGTGGATTGAAAAGATATATATCTTATGTTAGCAAGGAATCGTGCTACGACCGATGTAAGTGGAAAGCTTAATAAAATGAAACAATAGTTTTAGCGTTCTAATGTAAATATGAACTTATCAAATATTTGTTGCTACTTTAGGTACAAATGCAAATTAACTAGAAGAAGGAAAACATGGATTCACCTCATTGTTGCAGGAGAATCTCGACCATCAACTGAAAAATAACAAAAAAATATGTTTCACCATGAGAACCAATCTTACACGATTATATTTTCAACTTCCAACTTTAAGATGAGAGTCCCATACGTGAATATAAAACAACTTGATGACTATCGCCCTCTTAATGTCAACACTGAGTATTTCACAATTAAGTCGACTTCTTTCGGAAGATTAGAGTGCATTTCGATTAAGTGACGTCAAACCAACGTCAAAGTGATCACAGCAGCCAATCAGGGGAAAGGAAAATATCCAAAGGGACCAAAGAAAACGATAAGTAAAAACACAAACTGCTTGAAGCGCAGGAAAACGCGAGTGACAAATCGTAATTGATTTCAGTTGTGAAACTGATTGGTTGATAAAGTGGCGCGAGTTTTCTGGACCAATAATACCACAAAGTAATGCAAAGTGATCCTGGATTACTTCGAAACTCGATCGAAACACTATATTCTCACAGTTAATCATGCTGAATTCACGCTGAGGGGAGACACTGTGAATTGGTGGTCTGGGTTCGAGTTTTAGCTGGGTCACTGTGTTGTACTTCTACTTCCACGAAACCTCTCACCGCTCAGAGTCGTCATGGCTACCAGCAACTGTCAGGCATACCTGGCAACTGACCAGGGGGGAGGAGGGTAGCCGTGCGATGGACTGGTATTCCAGTGTGTGCGAGTGGGGGGGGGGGGGGGGAAAGGGAGTGTGTGTGAAGGGAGGAGGAGAATAGCGATATCCCCAACAGCTTCTAACATACCTTTGCTCGCTGAAGAATTTGGACGGCTTCCTCTGACCTCTAAGTCATACAGTCTGGAAGTCAAATAAAACATTTAATTTACAAGCCTTCCTTATGAAAAAGTAAAAACAACAAAAAATAATTCATATTCAAACTGAAGAAAACTGGCTCAATTCAAGCATGGACTCTTGTAACAGAAAATAGCAGATCTGACCAGAGCGAGGGGATGGTGAAAAATATAACTGAACCACCTCTACCTAAAAGGCAATTACCTAATAACTTTACTCCTCAAAAAAGAGGTTGATGCGATGGCATGTTATTTAATTAACAAAAACTTTATCAGCTTACTTCCTTCTGAGGATTTCATTCTCGTCTTTGAGTCCGTCGACTTCTCGTACAGCAGCTCTGTAATCAAGCTGAAATATAGAAAGTAATGGAGATATTAAAAGACACTTCCTAAAACCAAGCCTACAATTCTAAAAGGGAATAAATAATCACATCATCAAAAACTTACCCAGTTTTGATGAGCTTTCTTCTCGATGTTTGACAACTACGAATAGAATGAAAACACAACAGAGTTAAAAGAATGAAAGGCTTCTTAATCAGAATGGCAGAATTCGTATGTTTCTGAGGAATCTCTCGTAGTCCTTTGCAGCCATTGCCTGGTATCGTCCCTCCCTCCTTTCTCCCAACCCATCCCCCCCCCCCCCATCTCGAGGTACATTGTCTTTCGTGACGAGACAAAACATGGTTGCAAATTTGTCTTCAGTACTTCATAGACCAACCTGCTCTTTCTTGCTCTCGTCGATCTCTTCAATCTGTTTCTTGATGTCTAGATAAAGCTGCCTAAGAGCGAATATAAAAAGTACATTTGAGACTGACGCTTACTGCAAAAGATACGCGAACAAAAGTCAATCAAGTCTAATCTAAAATCAGAACTTCACGCGCTTAAATTCACACGCATGTAACAGAAAGAGCTGATTACGCTTAGTTCCTCGACAATAATTCAGGCATGAAAAAGACTTAATACTTTACCTGTACTTATCCGCATCTACCACAGCAGAGGAAGCCTTGGCTTGTTCTGAATGCAGCTGATTCTCGATAGAAATTCGGGTTGATTCCTCAGCTGTAATTTTTCTACAAAGGAAACAGTCCGACATTAAAATGTTAACTTTTCGCACCATCCAGATGCAACAAAACCTTCGAAAATCCTACGTAGCTTCGATAACTACACCTCGTATTACTCTAAAGTTGGTAGCAAGATCCACGGCTGTGAAGCACAATCTCTTACCGATGTAATTCCACTTCACTTGATTTGAAATACTTCTGCAGTGCCTCCAGTTCAATTTCCTTTTCTCGCTGTATTAGCAAGGCCTGGGTAGCTTTACTCTCGGCCAGCTCAGCTCGTTCTGTCTTCTCAACATTGTCCTCTGCAAGAAAAGAAATGATTGGTTTAGATCGAACCTAAAATTTCTTTCCCACCTCGGGTAGTGTAAGGTGCTAAAGTCGGCAGCGTGGAATCTTGAGAAAGGTGAGGTTATGATCATACAACAGGCTCTGGTTCACACGTTAAGATGTTCGTTACGAATAGTTTTGAAAAGTTAACATGACTTGTTTGGAGTGAGGTGGACCACGGGCAACCATTAGATATGTTATCATCAAACACTGTCTCAAAAATATGCTACGATCCTGAATTCCTTACCTTCAAACATCTTGTTCGTCCTTC